TAGCGCACAAATACAGCAACCTGGCTTAGATTGGAAACGTCTGTGGTCTCGTCGAGTTGAAGGCTGAATTTTGCCGGGCTTGAAATCAGATCTGCAACTACTTGAGCCAAGATTTCTTTGCTCATGTCCTCTATTCTGTCGCTAATGGTGTCATTTGAAAGAGGAATTTGGGATAACTTAACTTCAGCTGCTTTTCCCAGCATGATATTCGCCATCTTCAACACAGCTGGTTTTATGAGTGTTTCACCAATGGTGTGTGGTTTGCCCTGCTTTGCGATCAGGTAAGCAACTTCGTACGATGCTGTGAAGATCGGTTTGTTGATGGGTACAAAGCCGAGAACAGACAGAGTAGCCTTTTCATCGAATCTGGCTCTCTTCACCTTGAATTCAGCGAGCGTTGTGTTCTTGTATTGTCCATCTCCATGCAGCTTAAGGAAGTGTTCATAGTTGAGATGAACTGCTTTTAAAATCAAATTCAGGTGAGTTTGGAGGAAATGCAAACCATCCTACACTACAGAATAACACAACAGTATTATATTTTACCTTTAATTTCAGCATTGCCCCTTTTATCAATCATGTTTAGGCCATAGTTAAATAACCATATTAAATCATGTCTTTCTCTCTCTCACACACACACACCGCGCACACACACATATATACCACAAACACACACACACACAAATGTGGAGTTCTCACCGTGGATCAAGGAGTGTAGCGATGGTATACAGGCGCTCAGATTCAATGTCGCTGAATCTCCTCTTGACAGCTTCCAGGAGCGTGGTTTTCGCTGTCTTCACACCGTGGTCAGTCTCTGTTGTTTTCTCAAGAAGACGAGTTAAAGCTCTGACGGATGGTATGACATCTGCAGCTGCTGCAGTTGATGAACTTATCGTTTTTGTAAGCTCGTCAAAAGGGTCAAGCACTGAAATCATATTCTCCACCAATTTCCACTCATGGACGGTCAACATGGAAGGCAATTCAAAGTCAGCTGCATAAGCACATAGGGCACGTTTCTGTTCCAGTAAACTTTTTAGCATGGCAACAGTGCTATTCCACTGGGTGGGTATATCCTGTTGTAGCCTCTTTGGAGGCTGGTTCGGATTCATTTGTTTCTGAATACTGAACAGTCGGGAGTAAGCAAGCTGTGAATGCTTAAAATGACCGACGATGCGTCTTCCACTTGCGATGACATCAATGATGGCACGCTGTGCCAAAACTCCCTCATGCACAGCGAGCTGGAGGGTGTGCGCCATGCACGGTAGGCTAGGTAAACGCGCGTCCCTCATGGCCTTCTCCATGTTCCTGGCGTTATCCCGCAGAATAACGTGCACCTTTTCTTGTGGGATTCCCCATGCTTGGAACATGTCTGTGAAAACTGCAGCAAGTGCCTCCGCGGTGTGCGATCCGGGAAACTCTTGTGAGTGAAGCACCACTTTGGTCAGCTCGAAGTGTTCATTAATAAACTGCACAGTTAGGCTCAGCATAGACACAGGACAGACACTCAAACTCCAAATGTCACTCGTGAAGCTAACTGCCCTGATGTTGTCCTTCATAAGGCTCTCGATGTGCGTGTAGACATTTCGGTATAATTCCGGCAGACAAACATCAGTTAGGTATTTTCGGCCCGGCAGCGTATAGCGTGGATCCAAGCAGGATACAAGGCGTTTGAACCCGGCGTCTTCCACAACAGACAGCGGCTGCTGAGCAAGGCATATGAATTCCATTACCTTTGCATTTAATTCCTTTTGTCTCTTGTTGTCATTGCTGTATGGTTGCTGTCGTTTCAATGTCTCTGTTACGGTCAGCTGAGTGAGTGGCGTTTGGGAAGAGGTTGCACGCTCTTTGTCTTTATCTGCCTTAACGCTCGCCAACTTCGTAAACTCCTCAAATTCCTTGATGTGACAAGCTTTCAAATGCCGTATGAGGTTCGTGGTGTTGAAACCCCTTTGACGCGTTCCTCCACGGGGAACTACTTTTGAGCAGACGTTGCAAACTGCAAATTTATTATCTTTTTCCGACACCTTGTAATATTGCCAGACCAGCGAAGCCATTTTGTCTCAGTGGTTTCACCCACCCGCCACCGGAGACGGGGGCCAATGAAATTTAATAACATGGAGAGACAGCCAATCACAAGCTTTTCAAAAAAAAATTCTGATCGGCCAAATTTGATCGGCCGTTTTGAGAACGTCGATCAAAACCGATAATGGCAATATCGGCCGATATGGATCGCCGCCGATCAGATCGGAGCATCTCTAATTATCTATACATATAACCTGAAACAAAAATATATTATGTTTTATATCCATTACTGCTGCCCCCTTTTAAATTTAGGTATTTTGTATGGAAATCAGACTTTTTTATGTAACCACCAAATATCCTTTATAATGACCACATGTCTGATATTTGTAACAAATATTAGGCTACCACAGGAAAATGTTAATCCTCTACCAACTACTCCTCAGACTCCTCTCCAAGCTCCTCAATCTTGGAGAATGGAAAAAAGGAGAAGAAGATGAAGTCAAAGAAGAACATAAAGAAAAAGAAGAAGGGAAAGAAAGTAACAAGGGAGAGAGGAAGCAAAAATATCAGACAGAGCCGTGTTTCAAGGGGTAATTTATGTAAAGGAAAACGAAGATTTAGAAGATAGTTACTGGCTGTTTATTTTTTGGTGTGTGACTTAATGTCGTCAGTTTCAATAAAGAGGAGTGAACTTGCAGGTAAAAGGTGAAAGTAACACTTATGTAGTCTACCTATGTGCAAGAAAGCTGTGACACTGTTGTGTTGTAGACTATGCCTCCTGAATGATATTAGTGTTGCATAGTTAGTAAACTTCAGGAATGGTTTAAGGTTATTGAATGGAAGATCCTTTATGTCACTGAGACAAATATCTACTCTTTCTTCTTCACCATCAGCACGTGTTCCATATGAGGTAAAGTATTGAGTTTAAAGATCAGCATACAACAAAGCACAAGCTCTGTAGGATTTTGCTGGGAAATGTCGAGATGCCATCCGTGACTGTCCAGATATTGGTGACACAGTTGGGGCACTGAAGAAAGCAGGGAAACTATTGGCCGTTGGAAAAGGGGAATTTTGAATTGATGTTGTGCTGATGGACCATGTTTTAAAAAAAAGTTAAACCGTTAAATGTTCAGAGGAATAAAAAAAATTATAATAATCTACCTCAGTTTTATCATGCGCTTTAAGGTAATTTCAATGTTTTTCATAATATGCCTCGATTTTTACAGATCCTGAAAGTGTTATTTTCTACATTTGTAGTCCACAGCAATAAATAAAACTATTTTTGCCTTCACAGTTGAAACATTTGTATCATGCTTTTTTTCCTTTATTAATAATTTCCCATTATTTTAGCCTTGACCACATTTTAGATGTGGAGGTTGTGAAAGTCATTAACCAGAAATACTTATTAGACTTAATAAGGCTTGTTCTCGCTTTAGATCCGGTAGCTGCAAAAAGCCTAGTTAACTGTTAACAGGTGCATAGTTAACTAATAATAACAGCATTAATAAAGGCATGATAATGCATAAGAAATTATTTATTAGCCTTAATAAGGCTTGTTCTCGCTTTATATCCGGTAGCTGCAAAAAGCCTAGTTAATTGTTAACAAGTACATAGTTAACTAATGATAACACCATTAATAAAGGCATAATAATGCATAATAAATTATTTATTAGCCTTAATAAGGCTTGTTCTCGCTTTAGGTAGCTGCAAAAAGGAAAATGCCATAACATTAAAAGAGTGCGAAGCGCCACCCTTCAATATAGTACTGCAAGGTCACGCCGGTAAAATTAGAATGCTGGATGTTGCATTGTCAGGCAGAAACTCACTGAAATGGAACTAAATGGAATACAGTATTATTCATGTTGGCCAGTTGGTCCAGAGGCTGCGTTCATGCTCCATGCATATTGTTTCCACATCAGCATGGAAGAAAACCACAAGATATATAGTACCATCTGGCTTTAAGTAGATTTGTATCAAAGCCCACTTTTACTGCCTGATTGAGGGGGAAGGGGTGTAATTTCCCATGTGTCGAGTCACAGATAGTTGTACGTTTAAAAATGGGCTGGGTTACCATTGCGACTGTGATTAGCATCTGGAGCTTAGATAAGTATACTACGTCAGCTCCTACAGCACAATTCCATTTTTTTGTTGATTTATCTCAAGTTTCATGTCTCAGTACAGCGTTCTTTTAATCTCTCGGGTGGTTTTATTATTAGCCTTTGCTTTACTGACCTATTAAAACCAGCAATGACCTTGTTACCAATATCCTTTAATGACTCAGTCTACTATGCACAGAAAACAACAACGTTCTTCTTGACTTGTTAACATGTAAAGAATTTGTAATGATTGTGTATTTTCTTGTTTTAAAATAAAAGTTTGATTGATTGACAGACTGCTTTCACTTTGGATCATGATGAGCACCAGGGTGCATCACAGAGTTTCCTTTGTTCCATGTTACGCTCACTCACACTATCAATATTTTGTTCTTGGCGTATTGTAAACATGTTCTGGCCCATCTACTTCAAATCACTTCTACTTTACATTCTTGCGCACCATTCCTCCAGGAATAGTTTAATTTTTAGATTTTTAGTTTCCGTTTTGGCAGTTTTATTCCATCAGCAAATGGCTCTCATTCATCACAGTACTTTGTTGAGGTCAGCTTGCCCGGACTCATAGTTAATTCAACATAAGTAACTCAGCAAGTGGACGTTGTGTCTATTTTTATTTATTGTAACGTTACAATGTAACTTTTATTACATCAATGTCACTGTTACTTTTCCATTTCAAAGCGTAGAAGGAATCACTTAAACATCCCAATAAAACGATGACTGCTTGGAATGTGACAGAGTGTTGTGTGTTGTATTTAAAGAAGCAGACTAAATGATAAAACCAAATTAGGGTTGTTGTTCATATTTCCATGTTGCTACCTTCTTGTGTGATTCAACACTGAAGTCTCCCCTTTCCATGTGTGTGTGTTACAGGAGAACGGCCTTTCCCATGTACTTGGCCCGACTGCAGTAAGAAGTTCGCCCGGTCGGACGAGCTGGCCCGCCACTACCGCACCCACACGGGGGAGAAGAAGTTTGGCTGCCCGCTTTGTGACAAGTGCTTCATGCGCAGCGACCACCTCATGAAGCACGCTCGCCGCCACTCAGATTTCCAGCCCGGCATGCTGAAGAGGCCCCATGGCGGAAGCATCACACGCCCCAGCTCCCTCAGCAACTACAGCCGCTCAGACGCCTCCAGCCCCACCCTCAGCCCCGCCCTCAGCCCCGCCATCAGCCCCGCCAACTCGCCTTAAACTGATACCCAGTCGCACTTTCTGCCTCTGACCCACGAGGCCTGTGTTTTTTGTCCTAACACTTGTGTTGCACAGTTGTCGGCAACCACCCTTTGCTATTCCTGCGCTTGCTGTGGTGTACCATACTGTACATAACTGCTTATTGTAGTGCAATTACTCGTGTGATCCTAAAAGAAGGTAATGCCTTTCCCAGATGGCAATATTTACTGTCTGTACCAAATGTCTGTATTTTTTTTAGCTTCTGATCATGGGTAGTTGTCCAATTTATGTTCTCAGTCAGCTGAACAAGGTTTAGAAGAGAAAAAAAACAGAGACAAGTCATATTGAGACAGGGTTTTCATTTGGAGAAGGGGTACACACACACCTCAGGATTGAAGACATTTCTGTAATACCACAGTACTTCACAGTACTCGCATCGACTGCACAATGTACTCATCACTTTACTCTTAAATTCAACAGGGGTTGAATTTTACACCCTGCTCAGGGATGGCCTTGTTAGCTTAAAAGAATGAACACAATAAAGAGAAAACATACAGTACATATATAGCAGCCTTACACTCGACACAATTTTGCACTCTGTTTTTGTTTTTTTGGTCGGGAAATCTAGCCCTATTTCAGTCAATCGTGCACAGAACGTATGTCCTCGTGCTCTGGGGGGTTCATACGTAATGCAATTGCTGTGTGTTAACAAGACGATCCCCAAACCTACACCTCAGTAAACAAAAATACATCTGTTCCTCCATTGCAATGTCGTTGCCATGACACTGGGTTGAATATGTATTTAATTTAACAGTACGTACTGTGTAAATCTGCATGCTGAGAGGATCCGGGTTGTATTGCGTTCACAGTTTTACTCAGTTTAAGAAACTTTATAGCCTCTAAATAGAGACAGTTGTAAAGCAGCTGTTTGTGCTTTCTCTAAGGTCTGTATCATCAGCCAGAGTTTCCTTCAAAATAGACACAAAGGCGACTTTAGATAAATCAATGTCCATCCTCCAAAGCACATTGGAAAAATTACCAAAGACAAGAGTGAATGAAAGCTGTCTACTCAGTCTTGTAAGCTGCCCTTTATTGAGGCCTGTAGATAGTGGTTGGTAGTATCAAAGGTAGAACCAGACGGCGTGCTTGCTTCCCTCCTAGTGGCTCTTTTGTTGGCTCCCTTGAGGTAACGGCTGTATCCCTCAAGAAACTATTCAAAGAGAGCGTCCATACGTTTTTCCGGGGCGTGCCCCCCCTCCCCGCCCATCTGTCTCTACCTGCCCTGCCAGAGAGTGGTGGACTTTGAGCAAATTGCATTGGAGGGCAGTGGGGGGGTCAAATGTGGGGAAATGCTGGCACAGACTAGCTATCTGCAGTAGACAGGCAAGAGAGGGCAGGTCCTGATGAAAGAGGCAAATTTTATTACAGAGAAGAAGACCCTCATCTCCTCCTCCTTCCACCTTCCTCCCTCCAACTGTAGACACCGTGAGTGAAACATGGCTTTAACTAGCGGGTTTCTTACAACTTGTAGTAAAAGAGAAAGAGAAGTGTATGAACAACATTACTACCTAGACAACGGTAGCAGTGTGTAATGCACTAAACTCCCTCCTAAGCACAGGGGGAAATCCTCTACTAGTGCTGGGGAGTCCAATTTCACGATGCCAAGGAAAACGTTGCTCCAAATTCAGCGCTCTAAAACAGCTGGTTTGAAACTTGTCACAAGGGGTCTTTTAAACTGTTTTAAGCATTTGAACCAAAACCCACATATCAGCAAAGTGCAGTGCTCTCCGGCCTCATGTCGTCCTCCCTGTGATCTCAGATGTCCCGTGAGAAAGAGGAGTTGTGTTTCTAGACGTACACGTCTCAATAAGTCAGGCAAAAGGCACTGTGAACCTTCCATGAAAGTGGGAACCACTATCAAAACGGCTGCAGCCCGGCCCGTCTGTGTTATGCAAACATTTTCTTTTAATGCTTCAGCACTATGGCTTGAAATGGTTGCATGCAGTGTGTTTGTTCCTGTCGAACCCCTCCAGCCTTTTGTCCTCATGAATCGCATGTGCCAGCTTCATTCTATCAGGAACTTCTGCCCTGCAATCCAGTGCTTCACACTATATGCATGTTAACAACTGGGCCTTGGAATCACAGAGGGTTTCTGAGGCAATCTGGCAGATGTAAGTCCATGAATGGCTGGCCTTGTCCTTCGTTCTCCACAGCAGAAGAAGAATAAGCTCTGTCACATCCTCCAGAAAGAAAACATCCCTTATTTGGATCAAATGCAGTAGTTTCCTCAAAACACCACGTTTTAAAATGAAAGAAAAAAACCCTGTAATGTTCAAATAGTTTCCAGGTTGTGAGATGACACTTTGAATGCCACTGATCAGCAGCTATTTGTAAAATCATCACTGAGAGGGTTTTACGTTCACAATTTCTGGAAAAAAAAACTTTGATTTTCACAAACAAACTCTTCAACTGGCTGTTGAGCAGCTTTTGTGGTATCTATGGATGAATTTTCTTTTCTTTGTTATAGTCCATTTCTGACATGGTTTTTAGTGTAACTTTCTCTGAGTATCTCACCCTCAAGCAGGTTTCATGAATCATTTTCTTAATCCATAATCTGTACATTTACCTCAGGGTTGACGTCCACAAAGCAGATATGGGACAGTTTGTGGACACTGTTGTAACATCAGTCGCTGCACAGACGATTCTGCCAGTCTCCCCCCACCAGTATTCCCAGTGTTCCTAGTGGCTTGGTGCTCACTGCTGGTCGTTGTGTGACCACATTGGAAACGCCTACTACAGTCCTGACATGTGCCTTGGTAAGCACCGGGCACCCTGGCGCTCTTTTCAGTGAAACGCCCCTTTAAACACCTTTGACCCTTTGGTGTCAGTGGACTTGCAGCAGGCAGGAAGCTCCTACCATCTGAAAACAAGCCGACTGTGACAGTGTAAACATCCCAGTCTATCCATCCATCCAGACTGACGGCAGTGACATACAGGCCTCCGCAGGCACGAGTGTCTCAAAACCTTTATTCTCATTGTACAAAATCTACTTGAATAATTCAACACAAAAGGCCATTGAACACAGTTTTGTACATGTCCATTTTTACTGTACTTGCTTTTGTTGTCAAATAATTATTTAGAAGGGTGTATGGTCAGATTTCTTTGGGTTTCCATTGTCTTCGGGTAATTTCAGCATCTCTTTGGTATATACAGCATAAGGTTGAATCTTTTTTTTCCAAACTGTTTAAAGGCCCAATATTTTGTTAAAAATAATACGTTTATCCCTGTAAACAGTGTTCAACCCGTTTTATCAGAAACACGTTATACTCTTGATGTCGGGATACGGGTCATTCCAGTTAGCCTGTTATACAAAAGTTCCTCCAAGTCAGAAAACGAAAGCACTGTTTGGGTTGATGAACTTTTTATGTTCAACAAATTTCAGATATTTCATTTTTTTCTTATTTAGACTATTTTAAAGGTGTTTCCATAATAATAGATACCACAGAATTGTGAATTTGCAATGTAGCCTTGATTTTGTATTATTGTTTTTTTGTCTCATATAAAAATGCTTGTATATTTTTCAAAAATCATACCTCTTGAAATATTTGACTTTTGTTGTAGCTTCATATCTTTTCAAAACATTCATCATGTAGCCTACGTTTGCTTTAAGAGTAGCACAAATATTTGGTGGTTTTATTTGTGCCAACTTGAATGAGGAAAGGAAGGCAGAAAAGAAGACAGACAGAATTTAAAGTTTTTTTTGTAAAACAAAGAAACACTGGGCTAAATTTTATATAATCATTTTGTCAGGTTCTTGCACATCCTCATAGATTCCACATGTAATCTTTCCAGGAAATAATAAAACCTTGTTCTTATTATTTTATGTTACACAGATATTTAAAACACCTCTCTTCTTCCCAGATGCATATATTTAAACATCATCTACATGAGGGATGATGTCAGCTGGAAATTATTTTGAAACTCTACTTCAGCATCTTGTCATCAAACTGAATGATTATAATCATTGACAGATTCTGACATCTGACAAAGAAAATTTTTTTTAGATGACATCAAAATGGAAATACAAGGTTTACCAGTTAATATTTGTTCTCCTTATTGTAAATATATAAAGTGAATTGGTTGCAGCAAAGCATGTAAAGAACTAACATAAATCTTATTTTAAAAAATCATATTAGTTACATGAATCTGATCGTCTCATCTTTATCACTGGTGTCAGTGTACAAGCATGATTGATGCAATTGTGTGCCAAAACTAAAATGGTAACTTCATAAAGATTCAAAAGGTAAAAACATCTAGCTACTATAGGACATTTAACAAACTTGTACAGTTTTTTTAAGTGTTGAAATGTTCTTATGTGATGTACAGGAATTACAGAACCAACTCTGCATATTTTCTATGCAAGTGCTCTCTGTTAAATAATAATTTTGGCTTTATGTAAACAATCTGAATGTGTAGCTTTGTTTTCATTTGGTTCTTGTTATTTCATTTTTGCATCTTTTTTTTGCTATACAATATTCTAGCAATGAATAATGTCTTGTTGCCGGTATTTTTTGACATAAACAATCTTAGTGATGAAGAACGCCTGACCTTTCCAAAGGATTGAAAATTGCATTTGCTATAAATGTGCTGCTTTCATGGACCCGATGCATTTTTGTAGGTTATGAATTAAAGTCTGTCTTGACTGAGGTTTTACACATTGTGAGTTGTGCATAAGGTACGTTTCTCATTGTAAACATTTCCCAGGTTTAATCTCTACTTTCTCCTCTGTGGGCTCTGTAGGCAAAGCCAATTTGAATGAACAACATACATGCAATATGTAATATTTAAAAGACCAGGACAAACCGATGCACGTCCTCCCTTGCAACAAAACCCCAATGCTTGGGGAGTAAAGTTTTAGGAGGAAGCCATGATAAGAGAGAGAGCAGTTCTTCCCAGTAAGAACAAGCTTTTAGTTCTCACTGCGCATCAAAGGCTACACCGTTACAAGTTGTTACCAAAGGCTATGAAGGGAAAGATGAATGTGGCAGTAACTTTGAACCCAACTCGGCTTGGACATTTCAACTTTACATTCTGTAAGTGTCGATTTATGGATGTTGTGCTTGATATGGAACTTTTTCTTCATCTCAAATCAGAAACTTTGTTTTCTTTCTTTAAATTTTTTTTTTTTTTCAAAAGTCACTTGAATAAACGGAACCTGTTAAATCTTATGAGAAAAGTAATTCTGGTTGAGCTAAAAGACGAGAAGCGGAGTGAGTAGAAACGTGCTGGGCAGTAAACCACATCTGCTAGTACCCTTCACTGAGCATGTGGTCTTGCTTGTCTGCCCAAACTGCTGACATTAACGTCTTCTGCTCAAGCTTCGGTTGTTGTTGCCCTAAAAGGATTAGTCGGTTCCAGGTTATGCAGCACACAGCGCTGTGAATGACCTCCCTTTAATTGCAAAGAGAGAGCCACCAGCCGGCCTTCTGGTTACGGTGTCCTGTACCTGTTTGTCCTCGGCGTAGCTCCTCGGTGTAATGTTGCTCTCTTGATACCTCTGTGTGTTTTTCCTCTGCCCATCACCATCAGTTGCCTGTTGTAGTGACTCCATGGTGCTGCTTCCCCTTTCAGCATCGGTATAATCTGATCTGTAAATAACTCTCGACTCAGCTATGGCCAGTATATTTTCTTATGACCTCACTCTAACCTTCAGGTGTCATGTATGTTTTCTCTCTCAGCAAACCAAAATCACTACATTCAAGTATTACAGTTGTACAGTTCCTCGGATTCTATACACATGTGCTGGTCTTAGCTGCTCTGCTGTACTTTTTTATGGCATTATTTTCTACATGTTAGACAATATATTGTGACCATGTCCTATGCAAATATGAAAAATAACAGATTGTTGAAAAATGTATGTTGTCATAACTTGTATGCATGATATAGTGAAGTTTACATTTGGAAATACATTCCTAAAATAAGCATCTAAAATGTTGTTTTGTACTCATTTTCTTTCTGTTGAAGAGAAACAGTGAGGTTTGCTTAACTTTGGGGATAACGGTTAATGCCGAGTCAGCCTTTTAGTGCAAGGAGAGAGAGAGTTATTCAAACATTTCCTACAAATTATATAAAAGAGATGCAAAATCTGAATTGGTGAACTTCAGAGGTGTTGGTAGTCTGATTTTGTTCGCTCCAGTGTTCTTCTATTTAATGCCAAATTTGCATCAGACCAGTGTTAATTTTGGCAGCTATTTTTGATTTAGTCTTAGTCTTTAGACAAAAAATGCATATTAGTTTTAGTCACATTTAGTCATTTTAATCTTTCTCAGTTTAAGTCGACGAAAACTAGACTAAAATGTAATTGTTGGAATGCATTAAGCATTCCAAGTATTGTTCTTCGAATCTTTATTTCTCCATCTTCTATTTCTTCCGTGGCACCTTTCAACTCCTTCACACTTTCAGCTATTAAAATACTTCAAATATTAAAATGTTCAGCTTCTTTCCGGCTTCCGGGCTATGACTTTTCAGCTTTCTACCTCTTAAGCTTGAATTTATATAAATCAATAATCATTAATATTTTAACATGGTTTTCAAATGGAGTTTGTTTTCAAATCCTCTTAAAGTTCTTCAACTTTCAGATTTTTCAGCTTCGCAAATCTTTCAGCTACAGACACCATTTAAACTTTCAAATGTTGACACAAGTCTCAACTATTTTATGAAAAAACTGCTTCTTGATATCTATTGTACTTTTTTCATAAACACTGATTATGTTTCACTAGTTCTTCGCTCCGTTTATGACTTTTACATGAGTGTGTATTGCGTCTGCTAGAGTGGGGACCTCGAGGGCAAGAGTGTGAGGCAGCGCCAGAATCTGGTTAAAAAAATATGGAACTTCTGTCCTTGCAGCCAAAGTATACACTCTAGAGGCTTCATTTCTTCAGATTAATGAGGGCATGGTTGTGCTGATTGGATTAATGTGTTCATAGAATCCCAGAGTTCTTTAGTTTTGACCTACGGAGACCAACAGTCACACAACCTCTGCTAAAAGCCCCATAGGCTCCAATACAAATCTGCCGACATATTTCTCAAAAATCCAGAAGGTACACGTTTTGTCAACGGCCATAGGAGCCGTATTTATTACCGGACAGACATAAAAAGAACATCCATGCGTTCGGTAGAGTCTTGGGTCTCGTCAAAACGCTGTATTTTTTAGATAGCTGTTATAGTTTTGCGCTGAATGTCATTTGTTTGAGGTGTGGATTCTGTGTAACTCGCTGTCCCGTTTCTGCCCTTTGCAGCTGCTCGTTAATGAGCACAGGTGCGTCGTTGTCGTGGTTACTCGCTCACACGCTGCAGGATCTCTGTCTGTGACTCACAGCTGCTCCTATGACCTGATTAGTGGAGTCACATGACGCAGCTATGCTTTCTGTCAACAGACCAATATGATAAAGACACTCGCCCCCCCCTCCCCCCTCCACCCTGACCTCTTCTCACTGTTAATCAGCCAGTCTGTCTGTCTATTTCTCCTCCTCTCTCTCTCCCTCTATCTCTTCCTCACCACCCCTCCCTTCCTCACCCTCCCTCCCTCTATCTACACCCCCCCACCCCACCCAATCCAATAATTTCAAAATAAAAGCCCCATGGAGGGAATTTTTACTCTAATGTTTGTGATGAGGCCTATTAATTAAAAATTTCTTAGTTTGAATAACAAACATTCTGTCTCCCAACCCCCCTTCACCCAATTCCATCATTACAAAATTAAAGCCTCAATGATTATCTGTACCTTAACCATGAAGCTCAGAATGAAGCGGTTTCGTTGAAATACGTATTGCTCTTTCAAATACTACTACAACCACTACGAATATTACTAGTACTTCTAGTACTACAAATGATACTTCTACTACCATACTACTAGTATTTCTACTGCTATTAATACTACAACTACTACTAATGTTATTACAAATACTACTATGGCTAATAGTATTAGTATTCCAGCTGTTTCTACTGCTATTGATACTAAACCGACTTCTACTGCTAGTACTACTACTACCACATTTGCAACTATAACTAATACTACTACTAATATTACTACAAACAATTTAAAACCTATTTTTATTCATCTCCGCTTTTGTTATTTCTGTATTTTTTTTAATTCATTTAAGCTCCTGCAACTTCTGTATGTTTTTTAGAAAATCTATTAAAATTCAGCTTTCCCACATCCTGTATTTTCAGCAGTTCTTTAAAATAATTTCAGCTTTTCTTTTGCCTGTATTAACAGCTGTTATGCTGAATTTTAATATTGATTTCTGTATTTTTTTTGCAATATTTCACATTCATTTCAGCTGTTTTCATTTCTGCTTTTTCAGCAAATCTATTAAATCGTTTAAGCTTCTCCCATTTCTGTATTTTCAGCAATTTCAAATTGATTTCAGCTTTTCTAATATCTGTCAAATATCAGCAAATGTATTAAAATTCCCTTCAACTTTCTGTAATTTCAGCAATTTTCTGAAGGTCATTTCAGCTTTCAGCTTTTTGCATTCCAATGCATTTTCAACAGGAAATGCATTTTCTAGTTACTTCTATATTATTCTCCTTCCGTACAAAAGTTTGGCATGCATCTCCTTCCTTGGTCGGAATTGCCTCAAAATAGTCTCAAACTGTCGGTACAGATCGGGAATCGTGTGCTATTATCTGAATAAGAGAATAAACTAAGAAAAGTCTCCACAGCGCCGCCTAGAAAGTTGAAAAGTGCCAGTTTTTCCCTCCGATGCCCGATTGACTTAAAATTTGGCACACATGTGCTCTTCGACATGCTCTTCAAAAAAGTCAATCGCGGTATGCAAATGCACCAAACTAGATTTTCCGCCATTTTGAATTTTGTGAAAAACACGTTTTTGGCCATTTTCTCCCGCTATATCCGATGGTCACAAAATTTTCTAAGGATCATTATTGGGTCAATGCCCCTGTCTCCCCCTAGGATCGTGTTGATATCTTATTGTTTTGAGAAGTTATGGGCTAATGAACTTCACAATAGGTGTGGCTTATGTGAGATGCATGTACTGGTAAAATATATTATAACATTGTTTTGTGCTAAAGCCGTGTCTCAAGTGTCCTGTTTTTGACCCTGATGTTCAAAGAGCAGCATGATACAAAATGTTGCTTTGCAGCTGTGCCCTGAGAAGGGAGGGCGGTCAGCTCGAGCTCGTAGACGCTTCAAAACAAAGGACTTCTGTCCATGGCCTTGGTTCATATCTTATTCGGTACGAAAGTTCCGGATCCACATTTTTTACTTTATGTCAATTAATTATGATTTGCACTGGCCACTGAGGAGGATCTTGTGTGTGTGTGTGTGCTACCCTCAGGTTCACCTGGGTTCTTATCTCAACCTGCTTTGTAGCTTCTCGTAACTGGCACAGAGAATGTCCTTCACATGTGTATAAAAACTCAGCGTTTTTACTGCTCGGAGACGTCATTACACCGAGCGCTGAGATACGTGCTGGTGTGTTGGACATCCTGCTTGCAAGCAATAGTTAGATCCAGATATCTGCGGAGAATTGCTCATGTAATCTTTTTCTCTTCTAAATAAATGTTAACTTTTGACTTTAATTGATCAACGTGCTGCGATTCTTCTCATCAACCAACTCGGGGGGATCGGAGATCCTGACACTTAATATGACAAGACTCGTAACTTCCAAATGGTTTCGCCTGCCCTCACCAAACTTGTAACACATGTGAACATTCAATTCAATTCAATTCATTTTATTTTGTATAGCCCAAGATCGCAAATTACAAATTTGCCTCAGAGGGCTTTACAGTCTGTACACATACAACATCCTCTGTCCTGAAACCCACCATCGGCACAGGAAAAACTCCCCAAAACCCTTCCAAGAGGGAAAAAAGGGAAGAAACCTTAGGGAGAACGTCAGAGGAGGGATCCCACTCCCGGGATGGACAGACTACAATGGATGCCATGTGTACAGAATGAACAATGTATAATACATGCAATTCCTATGACAGAAATGATTCAAGTAATTGTGAGTAGTAAGCCATGCGCACAGCAGGACGACTGCAGGGGCAACCACCATCAGATAGAACCACCATCTACCGAAGCCTGTGGGGAGGGAGAGCACAGAGACTTTAGGAGAGGGTAATGTTGGTTTACAAGTACAGTAATATGATTAATATCTAAAATAATAATGATGATGGGAGCAGCAGGCGTCAGCAGGGCCACGGTCGGTGTCAGGACCAGGGTCCAGAAGGAACTACGATCTACGGAGACCTGCTGGGGGAGAAAGCACAAAAAAACTCCTGGAAAGAAGCTGAATTTGTCATTTGCATTAATAAAACATGAATTATGGTAGAACGAGAGCGTGAGAGAGGAGCTCGGTGTGTCCTACGAAGTCCCCCGGCAGTCTAAGCCTATAGCAGCTTAACTAAGGGCTGGTCCGGGCTAACCTGAGCCAGCCCTAACTATATGCAGAATCAAAGAGGAAAGTTTTAAGTTTTACTTTAAAAGAGCTGACCGAATCTGCCCCCCGGACTGAAAGTGGAACCTGGTTCCACAAAAGAGGAGCTTGATAACTGAAGGCTCTGGCCCCCAGCCTACTTTTTAAAACCATAGGAACAACAAGTAACCCAGCATCTATGGAGCGCAGCTGCCTTGTAGGGCAATAAGGTGTAATAAGCTCTTTCAGATACGACGGTGCCTCACCAGCAAGTGCCTTGTAGGTGAGGAGAAGTACCTTAAAATCTATTCTTGATTTAACAGGGAGCCAGTGCAGAGAAGTTAATACAAGTTACACAGTCCAGTCTGGAAGTGACAAACGCATTAACTAATTTTTCTGCATCACTCTGAGACAGGAAGTTCCTGATTTTTGATATGTTACGTAGATGAAAATAGGCAGTCCGTGAAGTCTTCTTTATATGCGAGTTGAAGGTCATATCCTGGTTGAAGAGAACTCCCAGATTCCTGACGGTGCTGCTGGGTACCA